TCACACTGCGGCGCAGGCCCGCAGGTCTGCGCCGCCTCATCCTCATCCTTCCCATCTCCCCACCCCATCCCTAAAAAGAGAGAAGCCAGTGGAGGAGGTCAAGACCTAACTTGGCTCCAGCTTTGCACTCAACTGGGCGTAATCCCTGGGCCAGGTAACCCATCTTGTCTCCAAGCTCTTAGTTTTTTTCATCTGTAAATGGGAAATAGCTCACCTCCACTCAGGGTGCCTGTAAGGCTCAAAACGGTCATAAACCATGAAATCTGTAAAGGCTGGGCAGATGTCCAGGCTTATGTTGCCAAGATAACACATCCAAATACTTAATAAGAATAGAGGTAGAAAAGATAAAATGGATGAGATGGCAGTAGAGGATGAAAGAGATGAATGAAATGAGATGGAACAAGGAATGGGAATTAGTCATAAGGACTGACGTACCGATGATAATGGAACAGATGGAAACATGGCTAGACGTGATGAGCAGATGGATGGATCGGATGGATGGGATGGATTGGATGGATGGATGGATGGACAGGTTGGATTTGGGTGCCAGGTAGATGGCTGAACAGGTGGGTTGGAATGGATGCGATGAGTTGAATGGATGGATGATGGTGGATGGGTGGGTGGGGTGATGGATGGTGGTAGATGATGGATGGGTGTGGTGGTGCGGTGGATGGGGGGACAGGTAGATGGATGGACAGGTGGGTGGTGGACAGGTGGATGCGATGGACAGGTGGATTGGGTGGACAAGGTTAGAATGGATGGACCCATGGATGGCGTGGGACAGGTAGATGGATGGACGAAGTGGTGAATGACCGGAATTGGAGTTGATGGATGGAGAGTGGTGGATGGGTGGTTGGTGATGGATGGTTGGGTAGATGATGGATCGGGTGGTGATGGATTGTGGATGGGTTGGACAGGTAGAATGGATGGACCACGGGGGGTGGGTGGACAGGTAGATGGATGGACCAGTGGATGGGTTGGACAAGGTAGATAGATGGACAGGTGGGATGGGTGGGACAGGTAATGGATGGACCAGGGTGGGTGGAATGACCCGGATGAGTTTTGATGGATGGATAGTGGGTTGGATGGGTTGGAAGGGTTGGGTGGTGATGGATGGATGGGTACTGGATGGATGGATGGGTGGATGGATGGACAGGTGGATGGGTGGACAGGTGGGTGGGTGGATGGATGAGTGGATGGATGGGTGGGTGGGTGGATGAATGGATGGATGGATGGATGGATGGATGGATGGATGGATGGATGGATGGATGGATGGATATGTGGATGGGTGGACAGATGGATGGACAGACGGGTAGGTAGACGGATGAGTGGGTGGGTGGGTGGATGGATGGATGGATGGACAGGTGGATAGGTGGACGGGTGGATGGATGAACAAGTGACCAGGCATATGGGTGAGTAGGTACATGGATCTGTGGTGGGTGAGTGACAGAGCTCAAGTTCTAAGTCAGTCAGCACAAGTGAGGGAGTCAGGTTTCATTGCCCCAGTGAAATGCTCTATGATGTCCTCCTTCAAACTAAGCAGCTTCTTTTCCTATGGGTGCTCGCCTTGACATCCTGTGAAGACCACTGCCCCACAAACCCTTTGTTCCTGAAAAGCCAGACTCCCCAGCATGCTCTCCAGGCTCTCCTGGGACTCAGAGGCATCAGGGCCACCTGCCAGTATCTTCAGGCCCATGAGCTCCACGGGAGCAGGGCACATCTGTCCAGACACCGCAGGATCCCTGCGCCCACCCAGGCCCTGGTCAGTCTTCTCCTAGTGAATGAAGCAGGGTGGGGGATGGGCACTGGCTAGGCAGGCCAGGGATGGGTTGGCCAGGGATGGATCAGCCAGGAAGGTGTGGACAGGGTGGGGCTGACTCACTGGGCACGCGGTTGATGGCTTTGAGGGGCCTCAGGACGCGTACAGTGCGGATGGCCGACAGGTTGATGTTCTGAAGGTCCAGGGAGTACTCAACCATCCTGCAGAGAAAGGGGAAAGAGTGAGGGATGGTGCTGGAGGCCAGCTGGGGTCAGGGCCTGGGCCACAGCATTCTCCAGCCACCTGCACACAGCTGCCCGGACAGGGCAAGTAAAGACAGCGGTCGGATCTCCAGCTACATCCGACCAACGTGTGGCCTGGGGTTGCTTCTGTGGCCCTTGTCTCCTCCTCTGTAAATGGCGCTGGTGACAGATGTGGGCAGGGGCTCAGGGTGTGAAGGGAGCACAGACGTTGGGCTGTGTGCCCAGCACTGTGCCAGGTGGCTCCTGCCCTTCAGGCCCATCCTCCTGGCCCATGGCCCGTGTCAGCCCCTGTTTCCAGAGCAGCCTCTGAAAGCGGGAGGAGCATCTCCTACACCAAACAGCTCCACGCCCCACAGTCCATGCTCAACCAGCCCTGCAGCTCTTTGGAGGCAGTTTGCCTCCTCCAGGAAGTCTTCCCAGATCTCCCGCAAGAGGCAGATCTCTGAGGTCCCTTCATGGTGGAAGCACAGCAAACCTCAGTTGCGGGGCACTGGGAGATGGGTCCGGCCTGCATTCCCAGGATCACCCCCCTGCCCCCATCACCAGATCCTTCCCCCAGCACCTCCCACCCTAGGACTTCAGCGCTGCTGCCAGCTCCACCTGTCACCACCCATGTCACCACTGTCAGTAGGAAATGAAGGCTTTTCCTACACGCTGCACAAACCTGTCCGACTGTTGTGAAGCCGCCACCCCCTCCCGCTGCTTGAAGAGTCATTGAGTGAAAGCTCCGTTCCCTGAAATGCCACCATCATCCATCCCCCACCCGCTGGAGCGCAGGCTCAGGCTCCTGCATGCGCGCGCACACACATACACCTCCACACCTGTGTGCACACACGCACGGTCACACACCTGCATACAGAGTCACATACACGCACACAACCACACACCCAGTCACACACATACACACAGTCACACACACAACCACACCCCCCCACAGTCACACACCTGCACACACGCACACACACGGTCACACACTTGCACACAGTTACACACACGCAGCCACACACCTGCACGGTCACACACCTGCAGAGTCACACACATGCAACCACACACCCGCACAGTCATACACCTGCAGAGTCATACATATGCACACAACCACACCCACACACACAATCACACACCCGCACACAGTCACACACGCACACAACCACACACCCACCCACATACACCTCCAGTCACACACGCATACAACCACACACCCACCTACACAGTTACACACGCACACAACCACACACCCACACACAGTCATACACCTCCACACACAGTCATACACCTCCACACACAGTCACACACATGCACACAACCACATACCCACACACAGTCACGTACACAGCCACACACCCGCACACAGTCACGCACCTCCAGTCACACACATGCACACAACCACACACTTGCACACACATACACACACTTGCACACAGACACAGAGTCACACACTTGCACACAACCACACACCCACACACACACAAACACAAACATACGCACACAACTGCACACCTGCAGACACACACACACTCCCTTCTTGGACATCCTCATATATGCACCCTCCTACTCAAACCCAAACGCAGATGAGGGGGAGTGACCCAAAAAAGTGACAGAGACCTAGAGCTGGAGACAGAGACCTAGAGCTGGAGACAGAGACCTTGGGGACCTGAGGGGGAGGGAGGAAGGAGAGAGGGGGAGCTGGCAGAGAGCAGGGAGAGAGGAGGGGGGCAGGGGAAGGAGCAGGAGGAGGGAACAGAGGGTTGGGGGAGGGGCGGGGAGAGGAGGGGGGGCGGGGGGAGGGGGCAGCAGCCAGGCAGAGAGGGTGAGGGCCGAGGGTGACCTGGATGGGGCAGCGAGGGAGTGGGACTGCATGAGGATTCTGCGCGTGGGTGAGCCCAACTGTCATTTTCACATTTTGTAGAAAGAGCTCTCCAGGCAGCCGGGAGACACGTGTGACAGAGGGGCTGCGGGGGTGGCACACACAGGCACATAAACAGGCGCTGGCACCCGCGGGGCCCAGGACTGCCGAGTCCCATCGCAGGCAGCCAGGACCAGCTCCAGCCAGCCCTCCCCACCATGCCCCACCCCCACACAGACGTGGCCCCTCTTCCTCCTGCCTTGGTTTTCCAGATCCTGTGGGGGGCGGGGTGGGGGGAAGTCAGTCCCTAGGGAGAGCTGGGAACGCCCTCAGGCTCAGTTCATGCTTTGCTAGATGAGCTGCAGGTGGGGGCTCCCAGCCCACACCAGACTGAACCCACCCATGTGCTGCCTTCCCAGGGCCCAGAGGGCACACCTGCCCAGCTCTGGCAGGCACTCATCGAGGACTTGTTCCCATCCCCATGAAGCCTCGCCATGAAAATAAACAGATGCCTGCAAGATGGATGAGTAGACAGAAAAGCAAGGCTGTTTGAGGCCCTACTGGGTGCCGGGCACTGTTCTCTTTACCTGTGGGAACCCATTTCAATCTCCACTCATTTGAGCGCGGGCCCATTACTCTCTCCTGCCACAGCCTCTCTCCATTCCACTGCCGACCAGGGCAAGCCACATCCATGACTGGTTCATTGAGAGAGCCCTTGGAACGACCCCCTGCTGGTCCCTAACTCCCCTCCCCCACACGGCCACCCGGCTCCACCTTCCCCGCCCAGTCTAGGACTGTTGGCTCTCAGTTAAGTGAGGGCACCAACCATGGCCCCTGCCCCACGATAGGTTGGGGGGCAAGAATGCCCCCGTGCACAATTCAGCCCCTTGATGACAAAGAGTGTTTTTTTTTCTTCTTTTTTTTTGAGACGGAGTTTCACTCTTGTTGCCCAGGCTGGAGTGCAGTGGCACTATCTCGGCTCACCACAACCTCCACCTCCCAGGTTCAAGCGATTCTCCTGCTTCAGCCTCCTGAGTAGCTGGGATTACAGGCACGCACCACCATGCCCAGCTAATTATGTATTTTTAGTAGAGATGGAGTTTCTCCATGTTGGTCAGGCTGGTCTTGAACTCCCAATCTCAGGTGATCCACCCGCTTTGGCCTCCCAAAGTGCTGGGATTACAGGCGTGAGCCACCGTGCCCAGCCGACAAAGAGTGTTTTCTTGCATTTTGTGTTTCTCTACAACAAGGGGTAGCAGGAAGAGACTGACCCCGGGGTCTTCAATGAGATATGAGTTGTGACTGGATGTCACAGGGGGGCCCACAATGACCCAGTTAGTAACTTTAGGGTCTGAACACCTCCCAGACCCCAGCTTTGCCACAGGAGGCTGATCAGACACATGTGCTCTTGGCTACAGACTTGGGCAACCTCCCTGCCATCCGCCCCAATCTTGGAGGGGAACGGAAGCAGCCACTGCCTAGCAGTGCATCTGAAGCTCCCAGACACTCTGAGCTGGTCCAAATAGGGCAGACCCGGAGCAACACACTGGCCCAGCCCCTTTCCCTCACCCTGTACCTGACCCTGTGGGTCTTCAGCACAGGAACACACCTTCAGTCTACGTCTGCGGCAAACATTCCCCAAATTCCCCCTGAGAACCCACCAGGTACAGCCCTCACACCCCGGTGAAAAGTTCCCCCAAGAAAACGTTCCTGTAGAATCTGGTGTCAAGATCTTAGCTCTGAGCTTCCTGGTAACCAAGTCAAAAAAGGAAATATGATGTTACTGAGTTCTTAGCAGCATGAAAGATCTTGACACTGTAGATCCTTCCAGGGAATCCATTTCCTTAAACATTTCTACTGGCTCCTAACTCTTACTTCTCCACTTCATGAACCATTTGGGGGTATTCTGCGGTGGTTGCATCTCCTGTCTGGGGAAATAAGATAGTGTATAAATGCATTCACTGAAGAAGAAACATAGGCGCACAGTAAAGAATTGAGTAGTTCTCATTCTTCTCTGAGCAGAAGAGGTTAGAAAGGAGGACACCAGACAAGGATGGGGAGAGAGGAGGGAAGAGGGAAGAGCACTTATTTGGGAGGGAGGAACTGTGGGTTTAAGTCTCTGTCCTGGGAACCTCGCTGTCTTGACAATGACTCCATGCACCAATCGGCCCAACCTGGGAGAGCTTGCTGACAGTTCCACCCTCCCTGTCTTAGCCCGGATCACCGGCCCTCTGTCCCGACAGTGGCAGAAGCCTCCCAATTGCCCTCCTGCCCCCTGCTTCCTCCCCTACGTCCCTTCCTCAGTCAGCAGAAATCTCCTAAACTCAGATCTAGCTGTGTCACTCCCACTTAAAACCCTCAGTGACTCCCCATTGCCTTCAGAACAAAGAGACCTTCAAGGCCCTCCGTAATGTGGCCTCAGTCCATCTCCCCCGAGTCTCTGCTCATCCTAGGTGCCGAGTCAGGCATGAGCACCGTGTCTCAATTTTTGCTGAGGCCACCTGGGATGGTAGAAGCTATCTCCCTCCCCTTCTCTTTCCACCCCAGTGACAGCCAAGACAGCTGGGACTTCCTGCCCACATTCCAAAAAGAGAAGGTAAGGAAGGGCCGCCCTGTGGGCTGACTCCCCTCAGGCCCCAAATAAGACATCGCTTACGGGGGTGAGAAATTAATTCCTAATTACACAGTTACTTTATCACACAACTTCAGTGCTAAGTCTAAAAAAGAAATCAACAAAACCTCCCCACTACCTCCTGCCAGCTCCTAAGCGCTTAATTAGGTAAGTAATGTTGCTTTAAAGAGAGCACTTCCATCCTGAAGTCTCCCCAGGAGGAGGTGGCTGTCTTCTGGGGAGAGGGGCTCCGGTGTGGCCAGGCTGGTGGAGGGACCGTGCCAAGGAGGGTAGGGAGGGCGGACATCATTTCTTCCCAGCACCTTCTACTCTGACCTTATTCCTTGAAGAGCCTCCCTCCCCGGCTCCTGGCTCCTAGCAGAGGTCCAGAGACCCAGGCCTGGTCCACCAGAGGATCCCATGCCCCCGGCCGGGCCACCATGGATTGGTTCAGGATAGGCATGTGATCCCTGGTGGACCACGAAGGCAGCCGAGCCCATGAGC